TAGAGGTCTCCCAGGGCATCTGACAGAGGCCGGATCCTGAACACATGCAGAGACATTTGGGAAAGTTCAAATGAGTCAATTATTTCATTATTTGAATGAACAGTCAAAGAGCTTTGTGTCGCGCAGTGTTGTGTTCCATAAGCTCACATAGAAACGTTTGTAGTCAAAACATAACCAAGAGGAGAACTCCAATTGGCAACATGAACATGAAAGTCATGACATTCTGTTAAGCAGAAACAGCCCCATCATCTGCAGGAAACATCAGGAAAGCAGACAGAAATAACGGAAGTCCCTAAAAAATGTTTGGCACGAATTTAAGAGACGACACCTGCAGGCAGCCTGCAAAGCCCCTGAAATGGTTACTGAGGAATGTTCAGTAACTAGCTGTTGGTATTACGGTCCAGAGACTAATCTCCAAAGGAGAGGGTCAACGAATTTACTAACATCTGCCAGAAACACAGGCTGTGTTTTTCCCGGTTTCTGTTGGCACAGTTTCCGTAGTGAGGTCATTAAAAGCTGGCCTTGTGTGGACCAGAGCATTGGTGGATCAAGTTACTGGCTCTGACAGGTCCGTGGTCATGTGCAGAGCAAAGTTACATAATTCCTAATTTAGTCCGTTTGCATGGAACAAGAAAATGCTCGCTGACGTCACTGGCTCTTGTTATTCTCGCTCTTACTCAACATTTGGACTCTTTTTTTTTTCTCGTCCTTGCTTCTGCGTCTACAATCACTGCAATTTCCATTCAGAATCCAGTGTGACCCACCTGTTGTATTCTGGTAGGACAGAAGCGTGGTCATTGATCAGCAGGTCTTTCACTTGGGTTAGGATGGCATATTTCCAGTTGTCCAGCACCTGGGTTAGGTTGGAACAAGTCTTTCCGTTGGTGTGTTCTGCTGAAGACAGACATTTATAGTAAAGTATTCCCCCTGAACTCCAAACAAAATCTTCATTCATGTGCTTCTAAAAAACGAAACCTTTTGCTAATCATTTACAGATTGTGGAACATCGACGGCGACGACACATCGTCCCTGACCTTTAGGACCCCAACGTGAGCTTCCCTGGTTCCATTTCTGAGCTACGCATGTTAAGACCATGCATAGCAGGACCACAATCCCGTTCATCATCATCTTCCTCACCTAACAGAAACAGAAAGAGGAAATAGGTGCTGCTGAGAAGCAAGTGGAAAGCAGTGGTGGAAAGGAACTAAATACATTTGCTCAAGTACTTAAGTAAAATGTAATAATTCACAAATCAGAAATATGTATTTGACACTTATTACTAGTCACTTTTTTACATAAAAAAAACACATTTTAGGTACATTATAGTATACAAAGCATTTAAAATTGGTTCCAAAGAGAATGATGCAGGACTTTTACTTGTGATGGAGTATTTTTAGATTGTGGTATTTGTAATTTGAGTAATTCTTCCACCGCATGAAAGAGATGCTAGGAAAACTTGAGAATGTATTAAGTAAGCACGCATGCTGAAGACACTTCTACTGAAAGAAAACACCTGGTGACCAAGTTAGAATTTCACTTATATTTAGCTGAACTGCAAACGATTAATCTTTTGTTTCGCATAAAGCTTCTGGATGTATTTCACTCAATTCTACCTTCACTTACATTCACTGTTCTTTGGGTTTTACTATACCTCTCTGTGAAGTGGTGCTGCGGGTCTTTCCAGGTCACAGCAGCAGAACCCGCTCTGTGGTACGATCCTTCAGCAGTGACGCACTGAGAAAACACGACCTGGTCAGCACTCTCTTATAACTGCCTCTCTCATCTCCCGGAGCCATTCCCCCACCTGCTCCCACCCACTTCAGTGATGCAGTGAAGACGCACTCTGTTCTTTTAACATGCATGCACACACACACACACACACATAGCTGCTGCTGCTGCTTCTGCTGCACACACAACATTTTACTAAAGTCAAAGCTCCCCAAACACATGCACACACACACATGTGCTTTCCAATTCAGTCTCCGATGAGTCTTGCAGACTTGTGCATCTTCTACATTGATAGATAATCCTGATGGGAGGTCCTGATAATCCTCCTTCTATCCCCCAGATGTCTTGTTGCTGCTGTGAGTGGTGTACGGCAACGTGGGCTCTCATCTAGAGGAGGTGTTTGATGTAGCAGTATGGCTCCAGCACAGCATTCTTACTGCCTACTGTAATACAATCTGCTCAACATCTGGGCTACTACAGACCCAGCCAGCAATGGTCCCTTTGATTGTCAGGGATTGATCAAAATCCGAAGACACACATACACACTTGATGAAGCTGAAAATAAGTGTTTGGTGTTAATCATTTTTAATAAATGAATAAGACATAAACAACTTTTGAGAAAGATTCCCTCACCACTCAGCACCCCTGTCTCAGTGGGATTTACTCCATTAGCTCACCAATTTGACAATAATCCACCCCTGATGAGGGTGAAAATGATTAATGTGGAAATAATCTGACTGCTGATGGAAGACAGATCAATGAATCTAGACAGCTTTGGGTAGGAAAATGCAGCTGGACTCCAATAAGCAGAAAGATATCCATCACCAAAGCACATTTTCCTTCTTTTTTAAAATACCGGGCAGCTCTGATATATGAAATACCTTTTGTCACAAAAAATTCCAGCTCAGAGCTATTCCAATTGAAAGGCTGTTAATGCTGCTGCATCCTGCTGCTGATGTCTGCAGACAGTATTGATATATGGCATGAGGCGAAAAGCAATCTGAACGGGCAATGGTCCCTGCCATCTGCACCAACTTTAAACCCATGAGGCAACTTACTGTACCGTATGCTGTTAGTAGGATGAATTCCATCTGTATACCATACATCTTCAGTGCTGAATATACAGAAGGAGTTGGATTCAATTCAAAGAGTGGGAACTAAATGCTCTTTAAATCCCCCCCCCCCCCCCCTCCGAAAGATTTAAGAACAAGGAAACAGCGGGATTTAAAAGATTTGTTACTAAAACAATATGACACTCAGCTGATAATCTATACTGTCAGCAAGCAGTCACAAGTAAGTCAGTTGGTTTGTAAATATGGACCACAGATGTGCACACACACACACACATATATATATATATATATATATATAGATATATATAGATATATATATATATACCTGAAGTAAGTACTTTCCTCTGGCTGTGAGACTCCTTAACTCATCCTCCATCCTCCATATATAATATAGTTTTTTGTTTTCTTTCCTATGAACCAAATTGGGACTACAATCTAAATTTTGTTGTGCAGCTCTGTCGTACAATGACAAATAAAAAAACCTTGTAACCTTGTAAGATCATGCATTCAAAACCCAATCGGTAAGAAAAAGTACCACAAGTAAATGTACTTCAGCAGAAAGGGCCCCTGTCATTGTATTATTGTTTTATTATTGCTGATCATTTTGCAGCAGATAATGTTGTAGCTCGTCTAAGAAAAGCAACTTTGTACTGTTTTAATGTGTTACATGTTGGGTAATTTATCTATAACAATGCATAATAGTGTTGAATGTAAATCCTTAATCTTCACATTAAACAGTAAAGCTACAGACAAATATAGTGGTCTAGAATATCTACCTTTAAAATATATTGAACTATAAGCTTAAAGTAGCATAAAATGGATATGAATAAAAGTACAAATACCTCAAGTAAATGTAGTTGCCTTTCACCTGTGTATCTTTGTAGAACAGTGAGTGTATATGCACCTGCACACACATTCATCTGCAATATCAGGAATGCACAACTCTTGAAAGCTACTATCCAGACTCTCCACAGAACGTTATCTGGATTGCTGTTGATCCACATTAATATGGAAACAGATTTACAGAAGCACTATTGTCCCGTCTTATCATCCACACATCTGGACTCCTCCACCAGTCAGCGCCGGGCTCCGTCTGCAGACCGACTTCCTTCCAGCTCAGTGCAGCTCAGCCAGAGGAAAGAATGACAGCAGCTGACCTGCAGAGCCAGAGAGTAGCCAGGCCCCTCTCTCTCTCTCTCTCTCTCTCTCTCTCTCTCTCTCACTGCTTTTTAACTTGCTGTCACATTCGTTTTCCCAAACGCTGTCTGTTATGATTCACAGCAGCACATCACTTCGTAACGACTTCATCAGAAGGCAATTAAACGGAAAAATATATCAGTTCTTATATTGAAAGACTCCAAACAGAAGGTGCACCTTGAGGATTCTCTGAGTCATATGACTGTCAGTGTTTATCGAAGGAGAGAGACAGATTTTGAATTCTTCAGTTCAGGTGTTGTTCAATATTTTGAACACTCTATGTGTATTCGTGTGTGGTTAGTTAGTGCGTTTTGTATAAAGAATAAGTGTTATACCATATTTCTGCTGTATTATATCACTTAAATAAACTGAATATTGTCTATCAATATGCCCATTATTAAATTACAAGTTTTTCTTTGTTGTGGTTCATTTCATTATTTGTTTTCAGTTCCGGCCAAAGAGGCAAAACCCAACATTTTCTCTTCAGCTTTCCGCTTTATTTTCCAATTACACCTCGACATCTTAGTGGTTTATGTGAGTAAGCTTCAAATCAGAAGTTACTTGTTCTGGTCAGAGTCCCACTCTTGTGTGTGTGTGTGTGTGTGTGTGTGTGTGTGTGTGTGTGTGTGTGTGTGTGTGTGTGTGAGTATTTTACACATGCTTTGATAACCGTTTAATCCCCTCACTGTGACTCTCACATGATGAAGAAATCCTGCGTCTCGCAGCAGCCAGAGGCTGAACGCTGCATGGGTTTCTCCACCTCAGCTCACATGCTCCTCTGTTCACACTGCAGTCAATGCTCCCCCCCCCCCC